TGTTAACACATATATACAGTCATTAAACAGTTGGTCTACTATACAATATAGAATAATGAATTCGGCAAAATGTTATAACATTATTCACATATGTAAATTAATTTAGATGACTATATGGTGCAGTAAAACGGACTCAAACCCCCCATAGATAATGATAACATTGATTCTTTTGTCAAACGTGGCAACTTTGAGATGATTGTATAAATGTGTTAACGATTTTGATGATTGTATAAATGTGTTAACGATTTTAATGATTGTATAAATGTGTTAACGATTTTAATGAGTGTATAAATGTGTTAACGATTTATTTTTTTTTCTTTTTGCTCCCCAGTGGCACAGCGGTATGTCTGCGGACTTGCAACTCTAGAATGCGGGTTTCGATACCCGTGGCGGGCAAAGCACAGATAGCCCATTGTGTAGATTTGTGCTTAATTACAAACAAACAAGCGTAATAATAGCTAGGAATAGAACATTTAAATATAACTTTTAATTGAATAGGTATTACATTTTGATAATGTAGCGATCTATATTGAAATTCGAAAATATTTCAACACAATCGTGATATTATGTTCCAAATCAAAATATGTTTGTGGCAAAACTATTAAGGCTGCCTGCTGCCGTCCCTAGTTTTGAACTGCAGATGAAATGAATGCCAACACACGGCAGCGTCCAATACCAGTTCTTCAGCTATCCTTTACCAGCGAATAATTGGACTGACTGTTACATTATAACGCTTCCATGGCTTAAAGGGCGAATATTATCGGCGCCTGGTTTTTCGATCCCGCAATACGCAAGCGCTCTATCCACCAGATTATGTCAGACCCGAAGTAATAACAATATATATATTATTTGTCATTGGTATAGCGATTTATTGTTCAATAATGTTTAGGTTGTAAACATTCTTTCATTAGGTTCAATATATACTTCTTAATAATTGAAATTACGTAAAAAAAAACGGTTGTATTAACTATATTATTACTTTAAAAGGGAAAACAATCAGTTCTAAACAAATATTGGAGTCTGAAATTAAGTAAACATCAAATAATACAAAACTAGACAAATTAAAGAGAGGATAGAGATACTTAAAAAGGAATATTTGTTTTCAGATAACTGCAGAAAATAAGAACATATTTCGTGCAATATCCTCCCAGATATCGTTGTTATTTGTTGAGTTTCACTCAAAGTAAATTGAGGGCTATAGACGCTAATAGTCTCTAATTTTGAATTAAGAAACTACAGGGAAAGCACTTAATTAGTAACACCAATCACCAACTCATGGGCTACTCAAAGCGAATATTAGAACTTTATCATCACTCTTATAACTCACCCACGACCCAAAAATGTGAAGCGCGATTTTTAATCTTTCATTTGTCGGAACTGAGGGCGAACCTAGAAACCTTAGCACCATAGTCTGGAACGTTAACCACAGTCACATAAGACGATGTTCAGGTTGAAAATGTCAAATACAACTTTTAGATAAACAGATTCCACTTTTATTTTTATGGATCGTTAGAGAGAGTTTGTTCATAAGTCACTTCCACGATTATTAAAAGCTATAAAACGATCATTCATTTACAGACAATTTTAAAAATATTATGTTTTACTCTGATTATTAATTTTTCTTCCCTAACACACATATTAACATTAATAGTAGTGCCCGGCATGGCCAGGTGGTTAGGGCGC